GGAGAGGGGGTCCCAGGGAGGGGAAGGCAGGGGTGCAGCTCTCGAGGGTTTTGTGGAGTGCAGCTGGCTCCTGGAATCGCTCAAGTGCTGGAGAAACGGGGGTCATGCTCCTCTGTGGGCTCACAGAGCAGGGACAGAACACCGGGGCGGGCGTTTGCGCTCGGAAATCTGCTCAATCCCTGCCCTGGCCGCCGCTGTAACCTGCGTTTGTCTCTCGTAGTAAGAAAAGAGCTGATGGCCGAGGCGGCTGCAAGCGAGCAAGGGCTCACGGCGGAGGAAAAGGTACGAGAGACGCTGCGGTTCCCCGCTCAGCGCCCTTCTGTGACGCTGTCCCTGGTCCCTGCAGATGCACTGGGGTATTTAAAACAAACAAAAAAAACCCCACAAACCCATCCTGCCTTCAGCTCGGTGCCTGGTTTGTCTCCTTCAGGACCAAACCTTCCCTGAGGATGAAGGGGCAGCTGCCCCCTCCGTTTCAGGGGTCTACTTCATTTGCCCGTTGACTGGGGCAGTTGTCAGGAAAGACAAGAAAGAAAAGCACCTCAGAGAAGCCATCCAGGCGGTAAGCGCCGTGTCTGCCGGCTGCACACCTTCATTTTCTCCTGTTTTAATTTGGTTTGGGGTGCGAATCCCCTCGAGCGCTGCAGCTCTGACCTCTCCACCCTCTCCCAAAGGGCAGCTCTGCTCCGCTGGAGCCTGTCCGAGCACCCTCCCTTCAGCTCGCTGGAAACGCCAATACTGGGAACTCTGGCTCTGTACTGGTTTGGGCTGGGACAGAGTTAATTTTCTTTATAGCAGCTTTTGGATTTGGGATGAAAACAGTGGTGATGACACACTGGGAGCAGCTGAACTGGGAAGCAGTGAATAAATTCACTTTTTTGCTTTTGCTATTAAATTATCTTCAGCCCAACCCACTTTTCTTTTTTTTTTTCCCCACTTTTACCCTTCCGATTCTCTCCCCCATCCCACCACAGGGGCACGAGCATAGTGCTGAGCTGCTGATCAGGATTAAAACCCCCCAGCCCTTTGTGCAGAGCAACATCAGCTCCCCTGACCCTCTTCTCTCCTCCTCCCCCAGTATTTCTCCGTAGACCCGGTGGCTGCCTCGATCATGGAGATTCACACCTTCAATAAGGACCGGGAGAAAGTGCGAGCGGGCGTGGAGACCATGGCCAAGTGAGTGCAGCAGTCAGAGCACGGAGCAGGCAGGCAGCTTGTCCTTGCCAGGCTAATGGGGGGGGCGGGATTTTCTTCCAAGAAAAGTCTGAAGAAAAAACCAAAGCTGAGCACTTGAACCATCTGAAGTGTCAGTTGAAATAAAGTCAACAGCCCAGAGATGTTTTAAGAGTTGGTCCCCTAGTCCAAGAGCTTTGGGAAGCTGCTGGTTGAGATCCACCCCCCAGCTTCTAGCATGGGCATGAAACACTGATTTATTTTATTTTCCTCAGCTCTTTTATCTGTAAGAAACACTGTGAGGTCTCCCAGTTTCTTCTTCCACCTTGGGGTAGCGTGTCCTCAAGTGCCCGCTTTGATCCACACGACGCATTCCTCTTTCTGCAGATACTTGGACAACATCTATCTCCATCCAGAGGAGGAGAAGTACCGGAAAATCAAACTGCAGAACAAAGTGTTTCAGGTGAGACCCAGGCTCCTGCCCGTGCTCTGCCTAGGAAAGTCCTTGCCTGGAGCAGACTCCATTGAAATTCTTTCCTTTTCTTCCAGGAAAGGATAAACTGCCTGGAAGGGATACACAGATTTTTCCAGGCTATCGGGTTTGAGACAAAAACACTGCCTGTTCCAGGACAAGGCAAGAAAATCCAAGTGTATTAAACTGGAGTCGGCAGTTTGAGGGGTGGTGGGACGTCCAGTGGGGGCTGAGCTCCGCAGGCTGTCACAAAGGCTGGTCCTCCAAGGCTGTCACAGAAACAGCCGCTCCCCCTGCAGTTTCTCCATTAAAACATCGTATTTCTTGGAGATCCTGGCCCCTGTATTTCGTACGTTACTCATGCAGAGAACAAGAGACCCAAATCCTGGCCTTTTGGTTGCAGAGAGCACGGAGGAGTACTACGTTCTGAGGGACGACATGCTGACCAGGCTGGAAGATCTCAAGGGCTACAAAGAGCAGCTTTTAAACTCCGAGCCGGTGCGAGCCCAGCTGGATCGCCAGCTCTGCGTATTTAAACCGTCGCCCGAAGCTGCTCGGTTTGAGCTGCCAAACGACTTCTACAACCTCACTGCAGAAGAGATCAAACGAGAGCAGAGGCTCCGGTGAGTAGGTTTAGGAGAGCCCCGGCTGCCCGGGGGGCATGCGATGCCAAGTCGGAGTCTTGTACTTCTCCTTCGTGATAAAAACTGCTTTCTGTTTAAAGGACAGAAGCGGTGGAGAAGGCTTCAATGCTGAGGACAAAAGCCATGCGAGAGAAAGAAGAACAAAGGGAAATGCGCAAGTACAACTACACCCTGCTACGAGTCCGGTTTCCCGATGGCTACATCCTCCAGGGTAAAAGAATTCTTACCTCTTGGACAGACCCAAAACCTTCTGAGAATACTCGTAGTGTAAGAATTTAAATAATAAGCAGGCTTGAGGTGTGCTGAAACAGAATAAAGCAACAAAAAACAGGGCAGGGTAATGTTCCTCTAAGAATTTTTCCCATCTCTGAGCCCTCCACCAGCGCAGGGTAGGGACTGTACACCGGGGTTGAGTGGAGAGGGAAGGATCTCAAGGATCACGCCGTTAATTAAAGCGCGCTCTTCCCAGGCTGCTGCGAGGACGCTGGACTCATTAGACGGGTTTGATACAGGAACCAGCATGAGGTTTCCTGTGAGCTAGGGGGCTATACAGCCGTATAAATCCTCTTCAGATTTTGCAGTAGAACTCCGGAAATCATTTCAGGCTTTCCTGACTCTTTGTTAGGGGCTGGCAGGAGCTTGCAACAATGGAAGTAATATTTTTCTTTGGGGATTCTGCTTTTATACTTTCCAACTGAATCAGTCCGTTTCTGTGTCACTGAAGTAGTTCGTACAGTTTCCACGAGTACGTGAGCCCCACGAAACCTCCCACAAAAGGTTAGATTTGGTAAATGCCAGAGGCTCTCTTAATACCTCACCTTGTTTCCTCATGGCAGGGACTTTTTATGCCCGAGAATCGCTATCTGCGCTCTACAGCTTTGTGAGAGAAGCGCTCAGAGACGACTGGCTGCCCTTTGAGCTGCTGGGACCTGGGGGCCTCAAACTGACTGATGAGAACTTGGCCTTCAATGAGTGTGGGCTGGTGAGTGAAAAAAGAGAGAGCTGGTACTTTCCACAGGGGTGTTCGGAGTCATCTGCCGCTCATAATGTAGAGAGGTTTGTGTTTTCTGCTTTCAGGGCCATAGGTTGGGCTCTGGCCCCTTCTTTTTAAGCGCAAGTAAAAAAGTAACTGCTTGAGGGCTCCGGGCTCAGGGGTGCTGGGTCTGTCTGGAAGGAATGGCAAGGACCTGCCTCTCATCACAAATTTAAGCTGCAGGAGTTGTCAGCAGCTCTGGCAGAGGTTTAGCATCCACGCTGGGCAAAGAGGGAAGGCAGCAACTGTGAGGCAAGCACAGCTCTAGCAGAAGGCTTCCACCAGAAAGCCCAAAGCAGTGTCCTCTAAGGAGCTTCTTGCAGAAATCCATGCTCGTCCTTTTTAGTTAAAGTGCTCGAAGTTTTTGCAGGTCTGTGAACATGCAAGAGGTCAAAGTATAACATTGCTCTAGGTTCCTAACTGCCTTCTCTGTTCCAGGTGCCCTCAGCCCTCCTGACCCTCGCCTGGGACACGGCGGTCATGGCAGACATTCAGGCATCCAGAGAGGAGCAGCCAGCAAGTGCCCTGAAACCAGAACTGCTCTCCAGAGTCCAGACACTGTCGTGAAATAAAGGGCAGTGGAGTCCATGCTGGTGGCTTGAGATGGTTTCCTCATTTCCCCATACAGACTGTTGGAGCTTCCAGCTACAGGACCTCAGAAATGATGTTGGTTTAGCTCTGCCCAGTGGGAATCTAGGTTCTGCCATGTCACGCCCACCTCACGGTCACCTCCACAGCTCCAGCAGCCACACAGCAAGGCAGTCTGGCCCAGTAAGACACTACAGGACTGCTCTGAATAGCTTTAAAAGCAGAGGTGGAGCAGGGACCGCCTGAGGTGTTTCCAAGACCCTGATGAAGCACCACTCTCCTCCTTTGGAGGGGGGATAGGTGCAAGCACTGGGCAGGATTACCAGTCAATTGAGCCTGGATCTCAGGCTGGGCTTAGAACTCAGCTCTTCCCTTTCCTTCGCTGTGCACTGTAACTTCTATGGGAGAGAATATATTTAGATAAAATTATGTTTAGTCTGATTAAATGGAATATTTAAAGACTCAGTTCTGTTCAAAGTTATTTGAATTACATTGCTCTTATAGGCTTGAAATGCTGAGGAGCTCCAGTCAGTGCTGGGGCTGGCACTGGTGTTACTGGTGCAGCTGGGGCATGACCCAGCTTTTCACTTCAGCCAGACCAGGGGACTGACAACAGGCAACAGCAATTTCAGATTAACAGACATTAACCCTCAAAGTAAGGGCAGTAGTTTAGGGAACTAACTCATCAGCTCACCAGTTGTATAAAGTTAAAAGCCCCAGCAAGTTTGTTACATATGTAACAAAGTTTGATGCTAATTCAGTGTTTTATAATTCAATCCTGAAGTTGTTTTGCAGGGTAGAGCCCAGCTGTTCCAGATACAGCTTTTATTGCAGCAACCTGTGCAGAGACCGATAATTATCTGTAATTAATACCAGTCTGGCCCAAAATAGGAGAAACAAGGTGCAGGTATTTTTTTCTTTCCCAAAGAGTAAAGTCTTGCTGCTGTTCTCTGTAGCAAGTAAGACCACAAACAGGATGGTATAGATAGCATAAATTCAAATATAATTGTACATCATTTATACCCAAGGCCATGCTATACAACAGTATGAACAGAGTCATTCCCCCAGTGGCATCACAATAAACTTATTTCAAAAATCCCTCCGCTAATTTTAGAGATAACTTAGATACCTTCCATTACAAAGAAGTATCAAAATTTCAATAATGCTTTATTAAGGACAGATTAATATGCAGTATTTTTTTTTTAAAGCTAAAAACTAGATCTAAAACTTTAAGCTTCCAACTGGTCTGAAGCAGAACAAAGTGCTGTCTTCTCTTTACAAGAAATATGGAATACTTTCAAGTATCTTGGTTCAAAGATACACAAGGTTTAAAATTTTCTAACTCATTCTACATACATACAGAGAAGTTAGTAGGCATTGAAGTCTCAAGCTGTATTAGACGGGCTGACCACACTGGTGTCCTGGAGAGCGGCTCTCATGGCATCAGATTCTGAAGCTGTTTCAGGAACTGCCAGCATCGAATCTGCAAAGTAGAAAAGGTGTTGGGTTTGGTGTTTTTTTTATCATTTATCTAGTAGAATTTGACTACTATATGCTTCATCTGTCTTAGCTTGTCTGCTGCTGCAAGTCTCCTTTTCAATACTATTTAAAAAACCGGTTTTAATATTGAGTTAACATCAATCCAGAATAAAATTACTTCAACCATAAAAAGGATCTTCGTAATCTCTTCAGTGCTTTACACTCAGAGTTAAACAAATACAGCTGCACGCGTCTCAGCAAAGCCCGGGGAAGGCAAGCTCCTGAATAGCATCCCTGTCCTCAGAAGGAGAAGTTACAAACCTGAAGCGAGGCTTTCATCTGGCTGCCGTCTTGTAATAAGCAAAAGCAGCTTAAGATTAAACGCAAAGCTTCTTGTCAAACAGCTAGATTGTGCATTGGGGAAGGCGAGAGGAGGAATGTCACACCAGCCGAGAGAGAAAGGAGAACTCAGATATGTCTAGAAGGGATCACACACACTGTAGAATTTAAGACTTTGGGAATATGCACGAGCCCTTATCTGTAAGGTAGCGGAGCTGCCCGACACAAACGCCACAAAACCCCTGAATTCAGGTTGTGCCAGTAGTGCTGGGAAAGAGCTCCATCATGAGCACGGTAAGAAAGGGCTGGGAGGTTTTGGAAGCAGTTCAGAGGAGCTGAATGCACATCAAGGGGTTGGTGCTGAGTCATTGATCTGTACGATCGAGTACGTATAGCTAAAACCTCACGGAGATGAAAGGAGCCACTCCACAGCCTCATCCCACCGATCCTGAATCCGCAGCCTGAAAGGATCCACTCCAGCAGCGGAGCTTTGAAAGCTCCTTCCCAAGGGATAACTGGGACACAGATATCAGCAACTGGAACCAAGCTGCGCAGTGGCGATCAGAGCCCTCCCCTGCCAAACAGCCCAGAGCCTGGTTATTATCCGATGGTATTTCCTTCGGAGCAGACAATCCAGCCTGTGCTTTGGGAAGGCAGCAGAAGGGAGTTACTCTCCTTGTCCGTCCTGGAAGGACTCTGAACGCCCCAGGGACCAGCCCTGCTCGGTAATGTTTCCCAATAATTAGGGGATCTGCTGATACCGGCTCCAGTGTTCACTTTGCTGATCAGGAAAAAACCCACATGGTAACACTGGCAGCCAAGCGCTCGTCACAAGCACTTTGCTCTATTTAGTTGATTGGAGGAAGGAGGGAAGAAAGGGCAAGAGCAGGGTGGAGAAGACCATAAATAGTAAAGAAGCATCTAGAATAAAGCATAAAAAAGTAGAGAAGCACCCAGAATAAAACATCTACAGAGAAGAGCACAAGGTGTGACGAAAGAATGGGAGAAAAAAACAACACACCAGGTTTAGCCATGCACCGTTCCTACTGTCACACTCTCCCTTCTGGGAGCAAGCCCAGAGCCTGCTCCCAGTTTATTTTCCCACCTTTGCCTGTCTGTACATCCACAATCATGCAGTCATCGTCTTCCTCATCTTCCTCAGTGTCTGCCTGGAATCCATCCATCTCCGCAGCTTCAGCCTTAAGGTAAAAAGAAAAAAGGTACCAGCTCTGTTATCAGCGAGCTGACGGTGCCACTGCGCGAGACCGAGCACAGCCAGCGCGGGAAGGACGACAACAGCACCCACTCCTCACGGCGAAGAGTCACAGCACAGTCTGAGCAGCTGGACACATGCGTAGGGAAGAAAAATTTGATAAAAGGCCTCATCTGCAGTGGCACACGCAGCAGGAAGCACGCCAGGCTTCTGCTCCGAGATGTTCTGCTGTTACACAACGCGACGAGCAGCCTCCACATTGAAAACTCAGAGCAAACATTCAGCAAAATCTGACTCGGTTCTGTTGGGTTTTTTGGAAGGGAAATCTCTAACCCCCTGCTGATTATTTTGGATGCTTTCTTCCTTCTGAAGATGGAAAATGACTTTTGCCTGTCAAGTTTGAAGCATATTCTCCTCCTCATCTTTGCCAATTAGCTTTTATTCAGGGAGGGGTGACAGTTCTGCCCTTGGTGACTCTATTTCCTGCCACAGGAGCAGCACAAACTACTCATTTTGAATTGAGAAAATAAATACAAGGAGTGACACAAACTGAAGTTGCCCAGCATGGAACAGCTGCAAGCATTTTTTGGGTTTCCCTGCCCCCCTGCCTCAACTGGAACAGGGGAATGAAAATCTCAGACCTAAAACCTGGTCCCCACCCCCTACAAGCTGTTCCAAGAGAAGAAATTTTAAATTTACATCTTTCCCTCAAGTCCCAGCTCTCAGATGAAGCACTCCCCTCCTACACGTGTGCAGGTACTGCCCACTTCACCACCGAGCTCTCCTCTCTCCACAGCTTATGTAAGAGCAGCTTCACTAAACACGAGTCCTGGCCGTAGTAACACGTGCTGGGGCGGGCGACGAGCAGCCCCGACCTCCCAAATCGTTCCTGGGCTCTCCCCGAGCTCCAGCCTCACTCGACAGGGAGGATGGGACCTCAGGACCTGAGCAGTGCTGGTTTAGACATCAGCATGAAAGGCTTTCGGGAGTCTGACACCTTTTCTCCGAGCTGCCCGGCACCGCACAAAAGCAGCTTTAAGATGTTTTCGGGAGCTTTGAAGCATTCAGGCTGGTGATGTAATTCTGCTAAAAGCCTTTGTTTCGCTATTTCTGCCCAAGCAGCCAGCTATAAGCAGGGTTTGCAGTAGGTGCCAAGCAGAGATTTTTATCTCTGCCTTTATTTAGTGGATCAGAAAAAAGCCAAGCAGATGGAGTTTGGGGGCTGAGCAGCTTCTCACAAGCCTCTGATCCCTATCGCTACCTGAGTGCGGAGCTTTCACTGTAGAAAAGCCAGAGAAGCCAAAAATAAAGTGAGAAGGAAAACACATAAAAAGCCTTATCTCTGGCTTCTTTCTTCATCCCTTTTGTCCACAGGGGATGAGGAATAAATCCACTGCCAGCGCAAACCCTGTCCTGCCTGGAGGTTTGGGAGCAAACGGTTGATAGCACTGAGGTTCAGGACCTAAAGCTTAAATGCACGACGGAGCATCACACAGCTAAAGCAGCGATCCCGTACTTCTCAGGCATCCTTTTGGATGATTAAGCTCTTAAAACCACCCGTGGTCACCTTGAAAAGCAGGAGCAAACAACAGGAAGACCACAACAAAGCTCAGAGCTGGAGTAGCAGCTCCTCCAAATCCAGCTCATTTTTGTTCCTATGAATTATTACATTTTTTTTAAACCAGCTCTTGAAATTCAGCTTTATGTTTGACAGTACAAGCCAGAGACTTTACAGACTATTATGGGTTGAGTTGCAGCACTTAGGAACCACATTTAATCAGTACAGATGCAACTGCTGTAAGTCACCAGCTCGGGCTATACATCTGGCAGCCATACACACACACAAAAACCTGCCCATAAATTACACACAGCTGTAAACCCAAGGCCAAGCAGACACTCAGAAACTATTCACAGCTTGGATGCAATCACTGCCAAAGAGCAGAAAATG